GCTACCATTTCGACCATTGCCATCCTACAAATTAGTATAATAAAACGTTTCATAAAGTGGAGCTATACACTTGGGGAAACAATTGCAGAGGGGTGGACTTTTCACATTTGGCTTGGGTTTCAGTTTTAGGTTAGGTCCTTCTTACATCGCTGTCTTCTTGATTCGTTTTAAAAGAAATGAAAGCTAGAGGTATATTGTTTTTAGAGAGGTTTTATATACCATAGTATCTGAAAATAGGTAACAAAATCTCAAGTATATATCCTATCCTAGAGATATATATTTTTAGTTTTTTCTATGCTAAGAAATTTAATTATATTAAATACGACAACGGGTACTTCTTAGTCGAAGCCTTGGACTATTGTGCGTTCTTTTTTATGCTCGTTTAATAGTTTTGTTTGCATTTTTGTGCTGGAAGCTCTTCTTCTTTACGGCCACTAAGTATCCATTACATAACGAGGCGGGTTTCTGTTCAGTTCAAGTGGGGCGGAGACCCCCTCTTTACGCCTCCACCCCAGCTTTGGGATATTTATTACAACGCTGCTCCGAAAATGGCATTCGAAATTGTATTATCCTCTGGCAGCGCGAGTCTAAGGGGCGTCAATGTCCTTAACTTCTTTGAAATTGTCGCCATATTTTGCAATTAGAATAGACGGGGAATAGGGGAGAAATTGGGAGGAGAAGGCAGCAGGCAGGATCTAAGGAGGATGACAGCGACGGCAAAGGCGACGTCTGACACATTCAAGAAATTACAACGGCAAAGGCCCGCGGCAAAGGACTCACAAAAGGCGTCCAAAATGTATTTTATGGCCTGTTGAAATGTCTCGCGCTTTGTCTCCGCATTGTCCTTTCCCCGCACTCCCCGCCAAGTGTCCAGGTTGTCATGTCTCCTTGGTCCTGGAGGATATATACATTCCTCATCCTTAGCGCCGGGGCCGGGTAATGTGTTGATTGAATAAACGAGTTGTAAAAAGTTGAGCAATAAACCGATTTTATGAATAGATATATCAAAAGGCAAAGAAGAATTTTATGCTTGGCAATATTTATTATTGTGACTTACTAATAAAATATTGCAATTAAACGAAATTTCTTCCTTCTTTGCTTTAATACAATTGTAAAAAATATCACAAATTGTATTTGTATTTAAATATCGCCTATGTAAAATTATATTCAGTTACAAATACATTTTTAAAAACCTCTCAGTATCCATTTAAAACCATGTCTTGCAAACTTTGCTCTACTTATATGAAAATTAAATTTAATATTTGCAAGGTCCTTGGTCCTGGTCACTCGGCAGTCACTCTCCAAACAGGTAACTTTACTCCGAGTGACTTCCATTTGTCCGGTCCACCCCTCTGCCACTCCTCAAGCTCATTTATTTTAATGCATTTTACTAATTACTCACCAAAGGCAGAAGACGAACAAGAACAACTGGCCAAGAAACAAGAAGTTGAAGTGGCAGGAGCACCCGGAGAAGGGCAAATTAAACTTTTTGACTAACTCGACATGTAAGTTTAGCCATTTAAAGCCGAAACCACGGCCAGCATTTCATTTGCTAGCCAAAAGTTTCTGTTGGGGGCATTTAATTAGTGTGTATGTACCGAGAACTCGACTTCTGGGGAGAAAGTAGACGGGAAATGTGTAATCAACCCTTGAGGGTCCCCAATCCCAGCTAAGCTGTGCTGGCCATTTTCAATTAAGTTGTGAATGTGTACGGGGGGAAAATGCCAAGCAAAAAAAGTCAAAAGAGTCGAGAAATCAAAAATAACATAATGGACAAATTAAAATGTTGGCTCTGCCTTACAATATACGAAAATTCCCCACTAGATTTGCCCGAATTTTTTGTTTTCTCCTCCCCAAAATTCCTGGACATTGTTCCTATTCCGATTCTCTGTCTGCAGCACTTACATTTTTGCCTTCGCTATCCATTGGGGAGTCTAAATGAAATTGGTTTTGCACAGCCAACAAAAGGCAATTTACAAAATTTCTTTGCTTTGCATTCTGTGCCCTAAAAAAGATCGAAGGTGTGGAGGCAGAGTTCACTTGTTTTAGAGAATACTCAGGAAAAATGCTACTACTAGTGTTTTAAAAGTGCTGTCAATTTCATTACTTTGATTTTTCACTGACAATTTTGAAAATGGTAAAGTTTTAAATGGAGAAGAATATTAAACAACAATACTTCTGGTAATTGTTTACGTTTGGTTTGAAGGTAACATTTTTAAAGACTTAAAGCAACCTACAACCGATCCTATGAAATGTATCACAAACCTCTCCGGAACCTCGTCATTTCTAAACTAAAAGTTCCCCTTATTCCCCTTATGATGATATTCTGTTTTGGATTTTTGTGGCCACGAAATGGTCCTGGCTAATCTCATCGAATGGCTTCAGCATAATTTTCTTATCAACGGACATCGGAAACGAGACTGGTCACAGTTCCAAGTACATAGCTTCCGCTGAATTTGTCCTCATTTTCCTCTGGCTGGTGGAGGAGCAGGCCACTCCATTGGAGTCCATGGAGCATTTTTATGGTCACTCAAATGCGCATAAAACTTTGTCCCCGCATGTGAGAGTGTCTCTTTCTGGTCTTTTACGACTTTTTTCTGGCGTTGCTCTGTTCTGCCAAAAGCTGCTGATTAAACTTTATGGCAAATTTGCTGAATCAGTGCTTCGCAGGACACCCACATCATCCTGCTCCTGCTCACACACTCCACTGACTAAATACAATCAAATCAAAAATTCCAGTCCTCACAGCACAGCGGCAATGTATTTACGATGCACCACAATTTGTGGAAACTAATTTTGTGCAAATATTGCTAATAAGGCGGCTATTTATATTCACTTACAGTTTAGTTTGGCTATATTTCAAGTAAACTATTAAAAACAATTTATAAATAAATAGGCTAAATAATAATAACAGCACTGTTACATGCCTAATTTATATATTTCCATATAAAAAGGGACATTGATACTTGTTTAACCGTATACGGCTTTCCTTTCCAAAGTTTATGATACTTACTCTACACGCACATGTTGCTAGCATCCCATATCCCGCCTGTACAATAACAAATTCAATATAAAATTATTTACAAAATGCATTTAAATTTTATTTGTCACATGTGTTACACGAACATGCAGCACTGGGACGACGGGAAAAAGGAAACTTTTTAGTTGTCGTAATGGGAGGGAGCGCTTTGCAGCATTATCCGGCTGTGTCATTGTCCTGTTTTGTCCACATCCTCGGCTCTATACCGGGGGCAGCAGCTGGCTAAACAAATTGAGAATTGATTCTTTATAGACCATTAGTTTTGATTATACAATAGTTGGTGGGACCGAGTGGGTGGACCAAGGACCAAGGAAAGGTCTTTTCGGCTAGACGACATTCAATTGAACGCTTCAACGCCTATCGGGCAATTTGGTGCCGAAAATTATGAGGCTGCCATAGCTATTATGGTTCCACGATATATGGGACAGTAGTCCACAGGATCCAAGGAGAGAATGTGTGTGTGTGTGTCCATGTCCGTGATAAATTTGGGCTTATTTATCGGCCTGGCCAGTGGCAATTGGTACGCACTGCCAGCGAGTGTTTCGGACACTAAGGCTATTTGTAGTTTCGGCTTGGCTAGCTATGTAGCTCCTCCATCGATGGGGGGATATAGACCATGTTGGGTTGGGGCAATCATGGGCATCCGTCCGAATTCCGGGGGTGTCGAGGCTAATGGCATGGGCCTGGTCACTGATACATTAGCCAGGCATTGGCTGCAGCTGCTGCCGTTCGAGCGGCAAAAGCTTAAAGTTCAGTCAAGAGTAATAAGCTGTCAGTGCAGTTAAAGTTTCCAATACTCGGGGAAAATGGGGAGCAAAGGAGAGATATAACGTGTCCTTAGATTTCAATAATATAAACTCTGCCAGATAAATCTCCACAGTTCAAACTGATATTTTAATACAAAATAAGGCCTATTGATGGCTTTATTTAATGGCTTCCGCTTTGCAACTGTTTTTTCATTTAAAAACAACTATGTTATCTCGCTTGTATTAACAAAATGAAATTGAAGAAAAAACGTTCAATATTATTACGCTTCATTTGATCAAATTGATTTTCATTTCATTTGCCATGTTGTTGCCATGCAAAGCATTAATATATTATTTTATTTTAATGCATCATTTGGCAGTAATTTCAAAGAGCACGAAAGAAATACAAATATGGACAACAAATGCAGCCATACATAAACTGTCGGCAACAATTATGTCGAATTATTTTACAATCCAAAAACAAGCAACTAAAAATCAATAATACACAAATGGAGACCTTTAAATGAAATCTCTGTGTTTATCGCGAATTTCCAATTACAAATGTTTATAGTTTGGGACTGGATAGTGCAGGGGCTGTGGGGATGAAGGAACAATGTCTGTTTGGCATTCGGACATTAATGATTTTGTAGGACAAATTAGGCTATGCGGCAGCCGGGCAAAGTGCATTATTAATTAGCTTGGTCGACGCTGGAAATTGTGCCGCTGGCCGGGAATCAGTTGAAAGTTTTGTGGCCAGTCCGCAAAATACCTGGGTTTACCTGCAATTTCTTTCCGCGGCCGCATTTCGAATGAATTCAAATCACAAAATCCATCGAGTTGTCCAGAACCATGTAGGCACAACTGTGCCGACGCCAAATGGTCCTGGCTGCTGAAACGGAAAATTTGCGCAAAAATTAGTGGTTGGATTTTTCCTGCAAAACATCTAACATTTTGCTAAATAAAGTACGATTCATAACTATAGTTTAGATTGGGGAAACTTTAAGCTATACAAATATTTGAAAGCCTTATTAATACACAAACAATCTAAATTGAGCAGAAAATAATATATAAACTAAATAAGAATAGAATTTGAATAGCAATTGACCCCCAAATAATGATACCAATAAAAAATTTAATACAATTATGAATTACACTTTTTGCGGTTCCATTTTAGTATTTTGTTGTCTTTATTTTTAGCTTTTCTCATTGCATAATTTATCAATTAATTGATTAGTTTAATTTATTTTCTCTTTTTCAGCTATATCGCATTATTTGCTGTAATCCTTTTTTGTATTTTTTTTTGTTTTTGTCGTTCCTCTTTTAGCTATTCAAACTAATTCTAGTCTCAGTTAATTACATTTTAATGCTTTAATTACATGGTTTAAATGTAGATTTAGTCATTCATTTTTGAATCGTTTATGATATTTTACATTTAACAGCCTTATTATTAGCATTTTCTTAGCTTTTCTGCGGGAGGTGACTCTTCAATAATATTATTTTTCCATCACACAACTAATTTTGCCTCGTGCATTGTTTGTATAACTCTAATTAAGATTTGCTCGTTAGGGTTGGGTATTATTGTTTTGGCTTTAACATCGTTTTACTTTTCTGTGGGAGAAATTTTTTAGCAAAAAGTTCTTAGATTTTTGCTTCCTTGGGTTTCTTTGATGTACTTACTTTAACTACTTCTGTGCTATTTTGAGATGGTTTCCGGCTTTGTGTGTAAATTATTATTTGTTTTGCTTGCTCCAAATGCAATACTCTAAATGCTTTGAGGGATTAAGGATGTAATATATAGATATAGTTGGGGAATTATATTTACAAGCCAATATTTATGGGTTTTGTGTGTATATCTTTACATACATTTTCGTTGTTGTTCTTATTTTTGGACATTCTATCGGTTGGAACTTGTGGAATTCGGTGGAAGTCTAAGAAATCTAAGGGTTGGTTTTTGTATGGAAGAAGCAGAAGGGTTCTAAGTTGTAAGTATATGTTCTGTGTTATCTAAATCACAACAAAGATGAATATATAAAAGCCATGAAATAGTGATCTATCAGCTTCGGTGATGTAAGATGAAATCAATGTATGGAAAGGGTATATCAGTTAAAACACATTCAGGAACCCTAAGCAACCTTTGCAACTAACCACAACCCAACTTCCACTGCAAGCTGATATATAGTATTAAGGCTTACACTTTATCCACAATCCTCGAGGGAAATGTCCCGACTGTATCTGGTTGTTGTATCTTCTCTAATTTATTGAGCAACTTTCTATTGACCCAAGCGGTTAAGAGGGTTTTAAGCTATGGCTTAGACATTGGCGCTAGAACCGAAACTACTCAGGAATTTGCTATCGCCAGCTAAGCTGTTCACACTAGCTAAGGACTTGTTGTCACCTGAACCGGCCAGGAATGGATGATGCTGCTGCTGTTGCTGCTGCTGCTGATGCTTGAAGGACTGGTAGGCATCCGAGCTGACCGCCGACCAGGTGCCATCCTTGGCCTTCACATACAAGTGCTGTTTGCTCGGCTGCTTGCTGCCAAAGTGATGATAGTCTCCGGGAGCAGCGATTGAGGCACTGGAGGCCCAATCGTTGAGCAGCTGATTGGTGGAGTTGCACAGTCCCAGGCCGGAGTAGTCACCGGCATCGGATGGAGGACCACCGGTAAGAAAATCGAGGGTTCCTGCATTGGTGGAACTCTGATTTGTGCCCGCACTTGCGTTGTTCTGCCTAAATCCGGACTTTCCCAATATATTATTCTCGCTTTTGTAGAGCGTCTTGGGCTGCCGCTGACGCCTCAGAGTTCCAGCTCCACCGCCACTGGCCATTTGGGCCGCCAAAGTGGTATTGGCATAGGCTCCCAGTCCCTGTTTCAGGGCATTGCTGGCGAGGAGCAACTGCTGCTGCTGGTTAAACGGATTCGTTCGCTCCGATTTCGTGGCATCCAATTGATCCATTTTGTTCTCGGTTATGTTGATCTTTTTCAGCTTTGCCGGGGAGGATGTCACAATGGCTGTGCTGGCCGTGGATGTGGTCATCAGATTGGGTTGCTGCTGCTGCTGCTGCTTCGATTCGAGGCATCCGTAATGAGCACTCGGCGGAGCAGAGTACATCCCAGCCGATTGGTAGTCATTGCTCTGGTGATTGTTGTTATTGCTGCCACCCGGGTTGGGTTTTGTCGCATAGCGGTTCTGGTAGAGCTTGACATTGGCCACCACATTGGTGGTGGCATAGGCCCCACAGCTATCGTACAGGGAGGCCGACGATGGCCCACCCGCTGATGAGGGTGCTCCATGGGTGGGACTCTTGAATGTGGAGCAGGCGACTTCCGCATAATCGGGCATATTCAGGGGCGAGAGTCTGCAATGGGAGACAGAATGGCCACAGTTTAAAATTGATTCAAATCAGGGAGACTATGAAGAATGGTTTGTGTACACCCTGAAAAATATTTTCAAATTATTCTTAAGATTTGCTATATGGTTTTTTATTTATTAATTCAAAGCGAGCCATATGTCATAGAATATCATTTTAGAATTCTATTCTCTCATTTTTCATAAATTATAATGAATTAGCTAAAATTGATACCCCTTTAGTGTAATCCTCCGCAATATTAAGATCTTCTCACATAAACCCACCTTCAATATCTTTCAGTGTTAATAATTTTCAGTGCTTTATTTATGCTTGTCTGGGGTTCACATCACCAATTTCATAAATCATTCGATGTTGTTGTTGATGGGAGGAAATTGCTTTTGTTAGGCAGTGAATGCAGCTCCGGAAATTATTCCCCACTCACACCTGCTCATTAAAAATTTGTTGCTGCAATTTCCCTTTGTGCAACTCCTCGCCCTTGCCGTACCGTAGCAATTGCAATTTGCTTAAATATGGCAAATACAATACACAAATTTCACCATTAGCATTTCCCCAACTTTGTAATTAGAGGGAGTACGATGAGGAGGTATAGGAATTAACGTGGCAGCAGAAACAGGAAATGGAAATGGCAAAACCGGACTCGCATTCAAATCAAACTTTTATCCATGCGAGTTTCTGGCAAACACGAAAAAAAATAGCATTCACCGAGACAGAGGGAAAAGCAGCGAGAAAAACTTTTTATTGCTCAAATTTTTGCACACTAATTAGCTAATGAGATAATGCTTATCTATCGCTTTGCTTTTCCCAATGAGTTCTCGTAAAAATTTACTGAAATGTTACTGAGTGGGTGGAAAAAGGCGAATAGTTTTTGGTAATTTCATGGTGGTTTGGTTTAGCACTTTAGCAACTGCCAAGGATAGACCAATTTAAAGGACTTTATTTAATTTTAAAGATTACGGATTTCATAAAAATGGTCTTATCCTTATTCCAGAATTGTGTCAAAGACATATCATTTTATATCTGATACGGTTGACCCAATTATAAAACACATTTCGGAGAAAGCCTGTGCTAAGGAATTTCAAATTTCTCAGGCTATTAAGCTGTGGCCCTAAGGACACTGGGGGAATATGAAAATATGTAGATCTGAAGAGTCCCGAGTTCCTTCCCCGAGGACTATCAATTTTTAATTGTTAATTTAGCGGTGAAAATTGCGTTTTTCCAGGGGGGTTGGCAACGACTCTCTCCCCTCGAATCAGACAACGCAACCCGCGAAAGAAATTAAATATTTTAATTGGAAATTTTAGGTAATGACGTCGCCGCTCGTCGCACGTGTTCCGCGGGGAAGGAGACGCGGAACAGTGTTTATGTAAACAAGGGAAATAAAAGAAGATCCTGTTCTGGTGTAGTCCTGCTTATGTTATACTTTTTACGACTTTACAACGTTGTTAAAAGTGAGCAGCAGCGGGAAAACTTTGGTTCGAAGGAATACAACGGAAAAATTGAAACGGAAATAATGAAAATCGCGTAACGGAAGTGGCAACGGTATTCGAGGGGGAAGTCCTTGGTATGCGAGCGAGGGTGGTAGGAAATGCTCCAAATTGCAAGTGAAGTGGAAGGTGGCGGATATTCCTTCATAAAGGAATACAGAGCAAGGGAAGTCTAAACAAATAAATGCGTAAAATGCCGCAAATAAATACGCTAAAGTTTTCCGAGTTCACAGTAAGAGAGCGAGAAAGAGACAGACAGGTGTACACAGAGTAGGATAGCAATATGTCGCCAGCAGTTGCCACTTTTTTTATTGCCTCTTGTTTGGATTTTTGTTTTATTTTGTCTTGTTTCTTATTATTTTTTTTCTTTTGTTTTGTTTTATTATTGTTGCCGCAACGGTACATTAAGCTTTAAGGCAAGAAAAGAAAAACACAAAGGAAATGTGCTTTTCCTTTTTGGAAATTCCAAAGCAAAAAGTACAAGGAAAGTGGATGTGAAAATGGGTCGCTTGAATATGGATTTGGGATTAGGCTCAATGGAATTAAGATGATTAAGAAGCTTCCTTTCCTTGGGTGAACTTTCGCGAGGTTTTCCGAGAATCGTTTGACGAACTGATGGAAATTTCTTTTATTGGCACTGTGAGTTCGTGGAAAGTTGGGATTTAATATTGGGATTGAAAAGTTTAAAAGTTTCGCCGAATTCAGTGACAGCTTAAGATACTTCAATGTTGTCGACATTTTGGTAATTAAAAGGATGAATCTAAATCTGATTTAAGTGATTTTAACTCTCTTTTTCACCTTAAATTTAACAACATTTAAGATCCATGATTCTGCTTTTCATTTCCACCAAAAAGAAAACTCATTAGCCTTTAAGGGCGGACCGCAAGAGAGGAAAAATAAAACAACAGTGAACAGAAACAAGGAGATAAAACAGCCCCGGGAAATATGAATGAAATGCGTATATGGAAATTAAATAACGGCTGCAGTGCACCCTCCCCCCAACATTTCCTCCTGCCCCTCGAGAAACGTAAACAGTTCGAGGCCGGGGTAAGTTACCATGGCCCAAAGTAAAACCCGTTCAAGTGTAACAATTTAATGGCGTTTGTTGTTGCTGCGGTGGCTTTCCATTCGAGGGTGGCTCAGCCTTTGGCTTGGAGAACTTCAAGGAGGCAGCGGTTGCAGCCCCACAAAAAAAAATATGTGTATTTTTTTACGATCCAGCTCGTAAATAGTGCGATGGATCTTTTACTTAAACCAAACGAGCCCCCACTCGCTTGTGATTACACAGAAAACAAAAAAATGTTTGGGAAAAGAACAGAATCCTTTCGTCAGAGAAATGTTGCAAATTGTATTCAAAAAGTCAGCCCTTTGGGTAAGGATTTAAATTGCAGCTTAAAATATATTCATTTCCTGTCAGTATTTTCACTGTCTCAGGAAGCTTATGATTTTCATTAACATTCTGTTAATATGGCAATATAAATAATTTCTTGCCTCTACCCAGTTTAAGCCTTCTGCTTGCTGGCCAATTTTTTATTTGTAATTAAACAGTCAGAGAAGCGCAGACAGGATATTAAGGCAACTTCCTGGAACGATAAACAACCCAGGACCCAACTCTCACCTCTCGTAATCAGGCAAGAGCGTCGGCTGTTGTCCCTGTTGGGCGGTGGCCTGTGCGTATCCCGGAAGTTGCTCCTTTGTCGTACATGTGCCATTAGGTCCTGTAACCCCGCCACCGCCGGCTCCGGATCCCTGTCGCCAAACGCCGCCGGTGGGATCGATCCAAAGACCATTGGGGCCAGTTGCCGCTGTCGAATTTGAGCCAACGGCACCGACGGCTCCGCCTCCATTTAGCGGCAATGTTGGAAACTTTCGCACGGTTCCGATTGCGTGATTGCCTGAAATAAAAACAAAAAAATATATATATACGAAATACAGGAGACTGAATATATCGGAATGGAGTCTATGTGTGTGCTGGCAATGATTACGGCTCGTTAAAACTAAAACGGGGAACTGACTGCCCGGGGTTTGCTCAGCTTGTAACGTGCAAATAATAAAAGACGGAAATTACTTTTTATATTCAATTGGCAAAAGCTTTTGCACGCCCTTTTCCAACGAGATTGTAAATGCCCTATAGTTGTTAACCTACAAGGGTATATCGGAAGAGTAAGTAAGCATTTTATTTGAGATCATAATTCGGATAGTAAGTGGAACTAAGAAAGAACTGTGGTTACGGCTCAATAAAATATTTAATATAAGGGCTTAGCAGACTGTTTGAATTATAATTTCTTCGGAAATTTACAGGGTAACTTTATTAGACTCATCTAAAAACCTAACAAACTCTTTTCTTTGCTATATTTAGAGTTTTGCAGCCAGACAATTGATGTGATTTTCACGTGAGCGTTTGTCGTTTTTATGTACGATACAGGACCCCCTTTATTGTTGCTCCTTCTCTTCAAATAAAAGCCGAAATAAAACCCCAACTTTGCTCTAGTTATCGTGGCTTGTTTATCTTTTTATAGTCGGTTTAACCTTGGCGCTGTGGCTTACTGCCAAAGATTATTACCCTCGGTTTTTCGGTTCCTTGAGTCTTTACAATGTTATGAGTGCGTGTCCTGTGTCTGCAGTTATTGTGGCTTACAAAATGGCAACCTAATTGAGACCGGCCATAAATGCTCGAGTCATAAATCATAGATTACAGAGTGGAGGAGAGAGCTGGAAGCAAAATGCTTGCATGTCCCAGACCGGAATGGAGATTGTCCCATCAAAGTTAAGATGGAGCAGAGAGGGGAAAAACTCTGGAGACTAAATTTGGACCACCATTTTGTTACATTTATTTATGTTACTTGCTTGAACTTGCATTAGTTTCCTTTAAACACAATAGAATTTTTATATTTAAAGCCATTGGTATGCATTTAATCTCTAATCTTTTAATCTTTCTTGAACAAATATATATTTACACTTATTGTGTTTCCAGTTTACAAACTCGTGAAGCCTTAAATATTAAACGATTTACACCCTAAATTAAACTTCAATACCCTCCTCCTCCCTCTAAATCTTCACACAAAAAAGAACAAGCAATTACTATGCAAAAAAGGAAGAGGAAAATAAATATAAATTTAAATTAAAGTTCACTCACCATGTAAACTGCCCAGCGAGGTCTGCTTGATAAATTGATAGCGCTTGAATAGAACCAATGCGCCCAATAGAAACACAATTATGGCAATGATGGAGCCCAGCAGGACGATAAACCAGGTCTGTGTTAAAAAGTCATCGGCAATATCACGACTGATGGGATATCTGCAATAGACAACACAATAAAGAGCCCGGAATGAGAACGGCTATCGAAGGATGCGGATGGAGCTGTTGTGTACGTGCCCGGGCGGAGGCTTAGTTTAATGGTCGCAAAAGTCGTTGGCCATTGTCGTTGGCTGTTAATGGATTGATGTGGACCTCGGCAGCGACACTTGGCAGTCAAATGAGCAGCCAGCCCCCCACACAAAAGCCAAGTTACACTCGACGAAATTTTAAATTACATTAAATTCTTAATTCAAGGGAATATCTTCTCCCAAAAACATATTAGAATTTAGTAGTAGCATTTGCTTTTCTCCCAGTGCAACCCACTCACCTCGTGTAGCCCGTGTCCAGGGACTGGGTGCGTGCATCGATGCGGAGGACAGCCGGTTTGCTGAAGGGACCAACTCCCACCCGGGTGGCTGCCGCCACGGCGATGTAGTAGGTGACTCCCGTGGTGAGGTTCGCCAGGAGCAGCGTGGGGGTGGCTGCGTCTATGGTCATATTTTTGAATATCCGCGTCGTATTGTGCACGTCCAGGCCTTTGACGACCACATTGTAGCTGGTGAGGATGCCTGTTCAATGCCGATTTTCCGAGGGAGTTGGTCGAGAACGGAGAGAGAGACAAAAACTCACACAAATGAAATTAAATGTAAACAAAAGACAGAGCGAGTTCATCCGCATTGAAACGCTCCAGTGAAGGTATTTTGACAAAGGCAGTGACAGGATTACTTATGAATCTCTGGGGGGAGACTCAGCAAGCATAATTATACTCTATTATTCAGAGTATATCTACTACCTGGGTACCAAAATGGTAATTTTTAAAACGTTTATAAAGCAAAATTATTATGTAACATGCTTAGGAAACTCCAGCTTATTTAAATATTGATTACTAACCATTTCGAGTCCGATTTGGTTGCGGAGGCAACCACTTTAAGAATACCGAGGTGCGATTGAATTGTATAGCTTCCATGCCATATGGTGGCGCCTCTGGAACTGTGAATAAAAAATCAATTTCAATTATCCATTGAATTTAAAGCAAATAATCTAAAACTTTAAAAGTAATATAAACTGAAGATCTAACTGGATCAACCAAGGCCTTACCATCTTCCTGGGTTCGCACTCGCTTGGAGTTTGAGGGTTTTCCTACGACGCTCTTGTAAAATGGCACAAGAAAAAACTCGTACGTAGAGGCCTTTGCCAGTCCAGGCACCGTACAGGAACTGAGTCCCTGACCCTTGTTGAGCAGTGTTATCATCTTGTATTCGCTGGAGTGAAGTTCCCGGGCGTACAGGTAGAAGCCCTCGATGTACTGGCCACTGTCAATATCCCAAGAAAGTCGCACTGTGGTCGAGTCACTGGCATTCGCTTCCAGGAGCTCCACAATATCGTTGGCTTGGAGTAGAGTTTCCACATCGCTAAGAAGGAGCTGTGAGGTACCAGAATTTTCGCTTCCATCCCGAACTCCAACCAGTTTTCCAGCCGTAATGGGTTCCGAGATGGGTGAGGGTGGTGAGAAGCCCAAGGAGTTCTCCGCTCGCACTATGAACATGTAAGCAGCTCCCTGGGTCAAGCTCTCCACGGTGAAGATCGGTTCACTGAGTCGCGAAGCTATGGGTATCCAGGTTTTGCTCTGATTTGTGCAATACATTTCTACACTATATCCCAGGAATGAGGAGGCGCCAGCCTTATCACTTGTTGGCCAGACAATAGTCAAAGCCGATGCAGTGGCATTCAGAACCTTGGGCTGTCCCGGCGCAGTGGGACATTTGCTCTGTTCCGGAGCTCTGTAGAATTTAATATTCGGATTGGTGGGCAATTCAATTCTGAGGAAGCCACTCCACGTTGATTTACCAGCCCGCGAACTGGCCACACAAGTGTAGAGTCCTTGATCCTGTTGACGATCGAGGTCGGATATTATCAGATCGCCGGAAGTTGTGATATTCAACTTCGAACTGGGTTGCACGGGGATTCCATCCCGATACCAGGATATCGTGGGACTTGGCAGACCTATAGCTTTGCATTGGAGTGTGGCCAAGGACTTGATAGGCAGTGTTTGATTCACAGGACCCGATATAATAATCGGCGGTGGTCGGTCCTCTTGGGAGTCCAAGCTCAGCTGAACCCTCGATGTAATACTGGCCACTTCATTCATGGCATTACAAAGTATCACCAGATCCTTATCCGTTCTTTGGAATCGAGTTAGAGTCAATATCGAGTGACCTTCTTCGGTGTTTAAGCTGTGAAATCGATCCAAGGGGGGTGCTCCTGGGAATATTAGTGTACTGTTGTTTTTGATGGTCCAGAAGATAGTTGGCTTCGGATTTCCACTGGCGCGACACTCGAACGACGTGTCCGCACCGAGTTCCACGGATTTGCTCGCAGGACGTTGAATGAATTTCGGGGGGGCTACAGTGTCAGTGCGGGGAGGAGGAGCATGGGTAGACTAATTAGCTAAAGTGCTCGACTAGCGTTTGTCTAACATGAGGTTATCAAATGATGGGATCTCTTCCCAAAAATAACTTACCGTAGACAGTCAGAGTTCCCATGGCAGTGATGGCACCCACGACATTGTCCGCCTCACAGCTGTATTCACCTTCATCGGCAATTGTGACCCTTTCCAGTCTCAAGCTTCTATCCTCCAAGACACTAACGCGATCTTTAATTATTGGAAATTGAAAGCATTTTAATAAAAAGTTCTTGATTTTTAGATCTCTAGTAAAAATCAGTTCGGAGTAGAATCCTTTAGACTTACCCAATGGCATGTTTCCACCCGAGGCAGTTCTCAGCCACAGGACATCGGGCATGGGGTCACCACCCACTCGACAGGGAAAGGTCACCGAGGCCCCCTCCAGAACCGTTTGATCGTGCGGCCCACGGATGATGTACGGCTTGACTGCAATGGAAATAAGCCAACGGGGGAAATGATAAGCGGCAATTTAATCAAAAAACCTCAACCCAATATGGCCACGTAAGCAGAGCACAACCCAAGTCACATTCCAGCAAATTGGACATGACACATTGATTGGAGGTGCTGGGATTGGGTGGCGCAGAGACCGAGACCCTTTTTCTAACCATTAACCCTAGAAAGAACTGACAGTTTATCCTCTAAGGTAAGTTTTTCATGTTTCAATATTTTGAATTTAACGAAAATAGGGTAAGGAAGAATGGGAAAATCAATGCTTAGTTATAAATATTAAAAAATCGGATCAAGTTATGTGTTTTTTTCTAAAAAACTATCGGAAAATGTTGAATGTTTTTAAATAGTTAATTGATAGCTTAATAAATAAATATTCATTAATTTTTAGGGAACTAGCATAGCTAATATATTTGATAAATTAACAAATATGTACAGATAATAGTCTACAAAAACTATCTTGTACACTCTGAAAGTACTCAAAACTCCCGTTAAAATTCTGATAAATCTCTTATGAATGTTGCCATAAATAACACCCAGAAATTCCATGGGTTAAACAGCTTACCGTGCACTTTGAGTGTGGCCAGCGAGGACTCGCGCACTCCGACAGGATTCTTGGCTATGCACTGGTATTGACCCTCGTCAGTCTGCCGGGCATCCTGGATGGCCAAATTGCCGCCGTCAACGATGCGTATTCGCTTCGAGCCCTCCAAATCCAATTTCTGTCCGCCCTTCTTCCAGGTGACTGTTGGCTCGGGAATGCCCCGAGGCGCGGCGCACTCCAGCAGGGCGGTATCGCCCTGGGCGATCCGGGTGTTCTGCGGCTCCAGGCGGAACTCATCACGGAGAACTGGAGGAGGAGGAGAAGGAGGAGAATGTGGTCATGTGAGTGGACGAAAGATGAGCAAATGATTATTACGAAGAGACCGAGCCGAGCCGAGTGTGTGTGTGTGTGGCTTGGCCCCTGTCCATTTACGGGTGGTTATAAATTATCAGGGGGTTTTTGCATGATAAATGCCCCACGTCGGTGTCCCAGTCGCTCCCAGTGTCCCCTTACCCTGACCTGCGGCTATCCCTCTCTGTGGAGGGAGCGTGTTTGCGGCCTGACAGCAAAGATAAATTGTTGGTAAATGGCATAAATGTGATTTTTATACGCCTCGAGGAGACCGAGAGCAAGAGAAGAAAGATGGCCTTCTAATTTGTAAAAAGAAAAAATTCCATGCCATACCCGAAAATATCTACACAGCCTTTAATTCAATTTCATGCTGTTCGATGGATGGGATTGATGGAATTTGATTTGATTCAATTTGGCCATCAAAATAAATGGATGGCCAGGTGTTTCAATATTAATTTAAGAGCTTAAAATAATATAAATGAAAATATGTAAGATTGAATAATGTATATATGTGAAGTGAATAACTTTGTCTTCGTAGATATTCTAATAATCTCAAAAGCTGTCAGAGTGTAAGCTTCAAAATGGGTATTCTATCTTTTATATTTTTCCCCCCAATTTTAAGGGATTTCTTCTCTTATTCCTTTGCTCCATTTTATGTCAAAATCACTCCGACTGCATTTCCCTCGAAAACGCATTGCCAAAGCTCTCTTTCGCTGTCCGCCTTTTGCATAGTAAATCAGAGTATTATCAACATTTTGCTTTAGCAGTTGCAGATTTCAAGCGACAAAAGCGGAGAGCAGCAGGATAATTCAGCTGCTCCTGCCCCCGTCCTTCGTCCTTTGTGTGTGGTCAGAGGGGAATGCTGTAATTTGCACACACCTCAGAGCTCTATTTGTCCTGTGTGCATATAGCAGAAGGATGTTTTTGGAGGGGAAAGGCATCTCAACTCTGGTGTAATAAATCAAGCAACTTTCAAGCACTCCAAAAGCGTAGCCAAGTAAATTTCTCTACTTTTTTCGGCTCTTCTCGTTTGCCCCCCAAAAGCAACCTTTTGTGCAGCGAAAAAAATATATAGTATATATATGCGGGTATATTCAACGAATAAATCCATAGCGAATGCAGCTTTTACGTAAATTAAATTTCGCTTTCCTTTTATTTTTTTGTAATCTACAAAGTGAATAAGCGAATTCTCTTACATTTTTTGTGGCTCTTTTTTTCGGTTGAGATTTCCTTTTGCTTTTGGTTTAGTTTTTTGCTTTCTTGGTTATGCAAAAATGTGCTAAAACCATGACTTTTATTAAATTTAAAGTTGAAGCGTAATAAATCAGCATGAATCAAAGAGTGCCGGCATGAGCAGCCGTGAAGGAAAAGTGAAGGGAAATTTGGCCAACTTCCATCCCTTCCCGACCCCATTAAAGTGCTGGCAAAAGTTTTAATAGAAACCTGTGCCAAACTCGGGACCTCGAACCGAACACACACAGCAGGAAACACGCCAACCATCAATAAATTAATCAAAGTCATAATCAGTGTCAGGTTCAGTGCCATTGGGCAAAAGTTGTGTAGGCCTCGTCCTTGTCCGTTTCGTTATTTTTCCTGTGGTGGGGTCACGTTTGGGGGCTTGTCGGAGCGGAAAAGTCGACGCGCCGCGCCGAGCCGAGCCGCTCCAAAGGTGCAAAACGCTTCCAGCCGCAGGATTCGGACAGCTGCTGATAATGAGTTAATAAATGACCGTTTATCTATATTTATCATGGCTATAATATGTGTGCCTGTGTGTGTGTGTTTGTTTATGAGGAGATTTATGATAGCCTGCCAGAAAAGGCAACTACTTGAAGTCAGCGACGTGATCAATTTAAGCTAATGAACAGACTGTTTTTGGGATAATTGAGAAGCACTAAAGGAAAGTTATGCCGTGATTACTATTTATTACATCATCTACAGTTGGCAAATTTAATTGGGTAATTATTAAACAATTGTTAAGAACCAGATATAGCTGTAAAAGATTTTATTTACATTAAAATATTTAAGAGATGTTTTAATAAAAGTCACAGCAAATCCTGTCATAATATTCCCAAGCTGAAGACCTTCAATCAAGTCTCGCTTTTTCAAAATTTAATAATCATAATCCAACCTAGTAAGACCTCTAAACAAATTATACATATGGTTGCGAAAATGCCGGAAATAATTTCCCTACAATTTTCTAATTCCTACTCTTTAGCATGTGGCTCCTAGAACTCACTCTCCTCCTTTAGAGGGAGTCCTTTAATATCAGGTCAAAGGCTGCGTGTGTTGACAGCGCTCAAAGCGAAATTGCGCTGACAACATCAAATGTATATACTTATATGTACACACAATGTGCAACTTATGTTTACTATTGACAAACTCCCAACCACAAAAACCAATGTTAAAAAAAGTAAGAAAAGCGGAGGGAAAACACGTGAATAAGTGCGCCCGCCTACGATTCGAGGTCCTTCTCCACTCCCATTTTCCCTCTTTTATTGCCTAACCCAATCAATGTGAACGCCTTTTGCCGCTGCCTTTGCCAAGTTCGACCCCCCCTGCTTTTTAGCCACCACAAGCCGCAATAACGACGTTTTAACCAAGCAAACAAATTTGACGTGCTTTTCGTGATTTACATGCAAATATTGAAAAATATTCCCCAAGGATATATACCGCAAAAAGCAAACCCAGCCCGGGCTAAGGCTAAACAAGACTCGAAATGGAGGCGAACGTACTGAAAAAAATATATATAAAAGGAGAAGGGAATCTAACATGAAGGCAAAATAAACTCCGCACTGAGCAATATCGATTTTCATGTGGGAGGAGAACCAGGACATGACAGGAGCCGGCAGGACAAACAGACAAACAGACAGACAGACGGGAATGAAAAGGCTGAGGCAAATAAAAGAAATATTAGCCAACAAAAGACAAAGTGGCGGTCTCTGTCGACGATACGGGGAACCACAAGAGTGTGGGTGGAAAATGGGTGCTATTGGGATATAACTTTTTCCTCTCTACTTGATCGGAAAATGTTACTATTGCGAAATTGGATTCTAAACATTGGCAAGGCTTCAATATATAATGATGTATTTCTTAAACTTGAGTATGTAAAAGGAAAGAGCTGAATGGTCTTAATCGGGATCTCTCTAAGCATGTATGTATGTTGTTATAATACCAAATGTATCTTGAAACTACATTAAAATCAGTTTGAACTTTTGCCTAAAACTCAGGGTCCATATATCTAGGTTTTAATATCAAAACATCAGTTTTGTTATATTGTAAAGTTAATAATCTCTTACATTTTAGTAATTTCTTGCACATTAACCCAGGGCATTTCCCATCAAAAATCATTTGAGACCTTTCCCAACTCACAAATGGCAAACAAGTCTGTGTTTTTTTTGTTTTGGGCATATGGCCTAATAAATCCAGCTCACACACAATTTTTCCCCGAAAATAAGAAAAAACTCAGACCATCAGACCGAGCTTCAAAACAAAAAAAAAACAAAAAATAGCTGGCAAAAAAAGGACGAAAACTGAAACGAAAACGGGTTAATGGAGGCAGCAATAGAGCGTGCCGAAAGGGGCAGGAACAGGACGAGGGCGAGGGTCGGCAGGAGACCTCTGTGAAGACAAGTGGGTGCGTTCGAGCGTAAAACTTGTAAACGCAGCAGCTCCACAGCTAGTTAGTTAAGTGGGCGGGATGCGGGATGGGGAGGGGGATGGGTGGCTGCAAAAAAAAGGGCAAAGCTAGTACGCCCCCCCACACACAAATACCCCCAATACCCTCTTGACACAACAACAACAACACCATCAGAAGCAGCAGCAGCAGCAGCAAAATCAACATCAATTTAGAATATTAAAAACGCACACCACACGATCCAAAAGGAGGAGTGTACATACACAGGAAAGAAATGTTTAAGGATTCCGTGATAAAACATTTTGTATTTATATATTTTCGATAATTATTAATGAGTTTAAGTCGAAGGCCACCGCAGCCAGAGCTTGGAAATTCAATATTAAGTTAACATTGAATGTTAATTAATGAGTTTAAAAGACCTCATTTGATATATTTCTTGAATTAAAGTAAGTTCATCTTATTATATATTTAAAATTAATAGTATATGATCGAATTTGTTTATTTCTAAGCCCTAAAGGGACCAACGTATATGCCAGATCACACAATAAAGAATATTTCTTCAAAGAACAATTTCAGCAAGTTTTTCATACAGACTGTCCTGCCACAGAATTCAGAATTGGTTATTAGTAGTTAAGTTTTTGCACCAACTTTACTTGAACTTAATGTTCAGGGAAATATATTATTTCTTCTTTACAAGTTTAGTTAGTTTCAGACAGTTTTTTTCTGTGTAAAGGACATTGGGGACTGTGGCTTTGCGTTGACTTACCCGCCACTTGCAGCGTGGCATTTCGACTCCTTGCCACGCCCAGTTCGTTCTTCGCCTCACACCAATAGATGCCGGCATCTGTTTCGCGACGTGAATTGACAACCTGCAAAAAGATGTGAGAGAAAAAAAGACGGTGGCATAAGAATGAGTTAAGCACTGGAGACAAGATGGTGTAAAATTCTAAGGGTTTGAGGAGTTGCTTGAGAAATGAGCAAGGGCAGGAGGGGCCATTCGAGAGTAATTTTAATTGAAATGAGCAAGTTTTATCAGTAAATGGATAGGAATTTAATGCAGATAATTTTCTGGGTATATGGGTTTCAAGATGCGATAAAGTTTTATTAAGATTATAAGTCGGGAAGTGCGTTTCTTATTCTGAATTTTTTACTTGTGATTTAGTTTCTAAATAAAAGTTTATATTTTGGACTTCCTCAAGAGGTATCAATATGGTATTTTATGTTACTTTATTAGTTAAGTTCTGCCTTCAGTAATTCTCTTAATGAATTTACATAGCTTAAGAAATTGTACGCGTAAATCCAGATGTACATCACAATGTAATTTTCTTGACTTGAAAGAAATTCCTCCATTCATTTTTCTCTTGTGTTCGAAAACTCATTCTGGATTTCTAATTTCACAAATGGCATCTTGGAGCTGGAGCTGGAAAATACAGACTCCCAGCATCCCAAGACGTTGATTTGCCGGCTCGGCAGGACCTGTTTTTCGTCTTTCGTGAAACATCCTTCTTTTGGGCGAACTCTCCTTGGCTTTTGCAGGCCATAAAACAGTCAGCAATCTGTTGTCTGTTGCGCGTCTGCTGCCTTCAAGTGCTCAAATCATAAAATGTCTCTCGAGCAACTTTATAGTTACTACATGTCCTTGCGCCCTTCATTCCATGGGGGGATGCTCCTCCCCTTTTGTGTTTGTTGTCTACACTGTTTGTTTATTTGTTTTTCGGAGCACAAAAGAATTCCCCAACATGCGCTTAAAATTAAATGTCAAACTAAGTGTGCTTGTGTGTGTGTTTGTGTGCCATATTTATCTGCTCCTTGCAGCAGGATAAAATGAGAAGGAAGCAGCAGTGGAAGCAACAAAGTTCGCACAATTTACACAACTTGTGCCTCATCCAAGTGAAATTAAGTGTTGCGCTAAGTGAAGATGACAAAAGGGTTCTTCAGCTGTATTATTCTTTCATTTAATCTTCCTTCCCCAGCTGTATACACACACACATCCAGCAAGGATGTGTGCTCCTTGAGCCGCGGGTGCGCTTTATAAAACAAATAAGTTGGAGCGCCTCAGGCTTCTCGATTGTCATACTTCATATGTGCGGGTTACTGAGGAAAATGCAAGGAGAAGAACGGCTAAGAGGGGAAAAACAACAGCTCAAAGGCAACGAGATTACGTGGCACAAAGTAATAGTAATGTATTGTTGCACAGACACACAGATACAAAGACACATTTAAGATGCCCTCCTTTGTCTAGCTGATTTATCAACAGAAAAACCATGTTTAAGTCTTATCACAACAGAAATATTAAACCTTTAAAGGCAAAGAGAAGAGACAAAGAACTAATCTATATTGGTCATCTTTACGCTTTCTATTTGTTGTAAAATTTATGTAGCATTAAGAAATAAGGAATTCTGGAACCTTAAAGCTTCTTTTCCCTTTTCTCTTTTTAAAATCCACTAACCAAAAGCCGACCCTTTCATCTGCAAACCAGCCAACATTTTTTTTTAACTTTTCACTTTCAAATCAGGTCAGATTTAAGTTAAATCCCACTTTCTGTCTCAACTTTTGCTTTTATTCAGCTTTGTCAACTTTGATAAGACAACGAAACCAACTTAACCAACTCAAGCCAACTATTTCCCGCTGACCCATTTCCATCCAATTTGCAGCATCATCAAATGGCGAGCTGAATATTCAGCATACGCAACGTGGGCCCGGCAAAGGTAAGCCAGAGCTAAGCTCATTACCTAGGCACTGGGAGGATTCCTATTAAAAATTGAAATGAATTACAAAGGGGAAGAAGCAGCCGAGGCTCCTTGCCAGGACCTCAGAGAGTAGGGGATAAGCCTCGAATAAAATTAAAACAAAATACGTTGCAATAGCAACGGTAAAGTATAAAGTAAATCTGAGGAATACAAAAAAATTCAGGATGTTTCATGATGTTAGATTTAATTTCTTAGAATTTAAATAAGAAATGTCTATGAATTTTGTTAAAGTCATAAAAGGTAAAGCGTGATATTATAGTACAAAAGTATGTACAAAGGTTTTATAAAAGCAACTGTACAAAAATATTTCAAAATTTTAAAAATATAAACCAATTTTTCAGGGAAGTTTGTTTAAAATAGACTTATCACTTTCGAAAGTATAGACTCAAAGTTCAAATATAACCTGGTAAGGTAAGGTATTTAAAATTGTTTCTTAAAAGAAAATATAACTGTACAAAAATATTTATAAAAAATTTAAAAATAAAAACATATTCTTAAAGAAATTCATTTAATAAGAAATTTATACTTTAGAAAGTAAAACTTAATAGTTCAAATATAACCTAAAAAGATTAAATTTTGTAGAAGAAAATATGTCCGTGCAAAAATATTTAAAAAAAATATATATATATAAACATATTTTCAAGATAAATTTATTTAAAAATGACTTTACATTTTCGAACCGCACTGTGGCTCACATTTATATTTAGTCGAAACATTTCTTCTGCTGCAAATTTAATTTGGATTTTGCGAGTGTCAGGCTCCAAAGAATATAAAAAACAAGGATATATAATAAAGGAGCAGCACAGGAGAGTGGAAGAAATACAAAAATAAGTCGAAAGAAAACAATGCCAAAAGTCACATAAATTTATTTATATCTTTAATGACTTGAGCCAGGCGATTTCCTGCGAATTGGTTGCGCTCAGCGGATTTCTTGTTGTTTATATATTTATTGTTTTTATTGTGCTCTGTTGTTGTTGCTGTCCCGTGGTTGCTGTTGTTGTTGGCCGAGCAAACATTGAAACTGATTTGACACCAAAGAGCAGCAGCCGCAGCAGCATCCAGGGGGAAACAAAAAATATAAAGAACAGGAGCAGCAAGGGGAAAATATTTGCCGTGTGCTACGTGCAACTTTATGGTGGGGAATCTTTTTTTTCATCCAGAGGTGACAAGGGGGGAAGCTATAAAATATATTGGCTGTATCTGTGTGACTTCCACTGTGCGAGTGTGTGTGCGCAGAGAAGCGCGTTGAAAACACGCTTCCGTTTTAATTTAAAATACCCATAAATTTTCAAACATTTCATTTGGGAGCCATTCCCGTTTTCATGTTGTAACATTTCGTAATTGTCTGGTGCGTGTGCCAGAGGGAGACGGTATGTCACTCCCTCGCTCCCTCGCTCCTTTTCACGTTCGGTGCGTACTTTTAGCCCCCACCCCACCACTTGAGTGTTTTATAATTTGGTTTAAATTTTAAAGCTCGTGTAAAATGCGACGTGTAAATGGTTTTAATTGAGCCTGAAAACGAGTCTGAAACGAAATGGAATTAGGCAAATCTGCAGGTTCGTTGGCGGGTTGATTTTGGCCAAAAGCGCTTTTGCTTTCATTTCGAAAATGGGTACCCAAGGAGGGGGGAAAAGCAACAGGCTTTGTTACGATTTTCTTTTTGTTTTAAATCTGTACTTAAAGTTAACGGAAAATTATTTAAAAGGCATTTAATTAAAGTTTAACGGGAAAACTATAGAGTTTGATGGGATTTTCTAGCTATTTTAAAATAAATTAAATTAAATTGTACTGTTAAAAAGAATTTGGGCTAACACTTTACCTTATCATTTTACGTATTTAAAAACAAACCCTATAAAAAATTAAGAAATTTTAAACAGCATATAAAAATAAAATCTATTAAAATTTAATTTTAATTTTCCCTCTCGAAAACCCATAAAAATATAATTGAAAAAATTAATTTATTTTCCTCCTGTTTATTCTTTCTAACAAGTGTTGCAGCTTTTCTTTGCAAGCTCCCACTTTCCTGTTAATCTCCTCATTAAAAAAACCGCTTTCCTCCATCTCAGTTTTAAGCCTCTGCCCTTCGCCCTGTACTAATTCAATCATCCAGAGAGGAGGGAATTTCTTAAGCCCTGCTCTTCAGCCCTCCGCCAGCACCAGTTCCTTCCGCCCATTCATTAAACGCGGCTCAAAAGCATTACTCACTCACACCTCGAGTTAATAAACAGCCCTGGAGGCAAGTGGGGGAAAAAAAGAACCATGACGCCAAAATCGTCGCCTCGTTCATAAAAACATAACTCATACGCAGTGTTGGCCCCGGGAGCACACCACTCAACTCACTCCCAAGCCTCACCACTCAACTCGGCTCAAGTCCCTGTATTTATTTATTTATGTTGCATATACATATAGAGGTTTTTTCCAGGGAGCTGTGAATGTGTCGAGCGTTTGTAAACTCATTAAAATGTGCTCACTGTACAGTGCAGCGCATAAAGTTATTTTCGCCGCCGCGAAAACCGAGGAGATGAAGGGGAAACCGGGCATTAACTTTTAAGCCTCGACGGCTTTTTAATTAAGATGTCCTCCGGCCGCACCTCTAGAATGCAATCAGCTCGGTTCCAAAGTCGCGCTTTGATTTATTTGTTCAACACCCAACCCCAACCCCCAGGACCCACTTGATTGCCTTCTTAAAGCAGGATAAGAACTTTCATGGAGGGAACGGAGTTCTGCAGGGGAGAAACTATTGCCAAATGTGGCAGCCATTTAAATAAACGTTAAGGGCGGACCAGAGGTGTGGAAATGGGGTGGCAAATAAAAGGAAGATATATGTATCTGTAGAATAAGGGATAGAAAGAGAACGCAAGTGCATGCAAGCACTTGAGAGTCAGACAGAGCAAACATGGAGCTTGGGTAACTTTAGTCAAGGACGTGGAAAAGGATGCTGAGACATCATATCCACTGACATTGTAGCTGGGGAACTAGACGTGAGATAGACCTTTAAGGATTAAATTTTATACATTTGTATAGATTTTAATACTACAAAAATAATTAAATTATTAAATAATAATTAATAAACAAATAAAATACTGTTGTTTAGAGATATTCCCTTTTTTGGCTCTCTTTATAATTCAATATAAAATCCTCTTCTTACAAAAACTTGTTTTCTATATGAATCCTTTTCATTTTGATCCTTCGAGCCGGACCTACACAGTCAGAGAATATAGAATAATTACTTTTCACTGTTTAAAATATTGATTTGTTCAACTCAAGAGACTTGTGGTTAAGATGATTCCATCACAAAATTCAACACCTCTGGCAGTACTTTAAGGACTTTTCCAGCAGATGAAGTGTGGAAGCCAAGCAAAGTGCTGCTCACAAACACAAATACACTTGGGCACACACGCAGACATTTGTTACAAATGTGTGAGTGTCTTGCCTTGGCTTCGTTTCTCTTTTTTTCCGTTTTCTTCTCATTCTCCTGTCGTGCAGTTACGTAAATTATTGTCTGTCTTCCCAACGCTCGCTCCGCCATGTCACTTTTCACTACGCTTCCAGCTTGGCGCTCCTTTTTTTTTTTTTTGCTGGCCCCAAAACTCTCCTACACACACACATACACAATGTACATGCTTTTGTATTTTATTGCATATTCCCTACTCGCTTGTACATTTTTCTCTCCCTCTTCTCTGCTTCGCCTCCTCTCAGCACTTAAAGTTCCCCCGAAAAAAAAGCAGGACGAGAAAACTTTCTTTTCTCCCCTTAAATTAAAGAGGGATTTTGTTTTCATCTCCCGCCCGCTCCTCTCGGAAGCAACATTTGATAGTGTTGCATACTGGCCTCCTTGTTAGACGAGTAGTAATAATGTCTGGTTGAAGTTGCCTTCGAAGTGGTCTGGCACTTATAAGTAAGATTAATTGTCCTCTTTGGCAGAGTGGGAAAAGCTGCCGGAATTAGAATTTAAATTATGCCTCTGGGGAGCAATGAAATGATGTGAAATATACATATATTTCTGTTTGTGTTTGAGTTGGAGTTGGGGTTCGTGAAGCATTTCCACAGAACGTTACATCCCAGAAACAGTTGTAAATAATAAAAAAGATAGGTCAGGGACCTAAGCGCTAAGCAAGCTGCCATAAAATTCAGCAGAATATTAAAAAGTTTCCGGCTATGCCTAGAACAATATTTTTCTAAAAGATTCCATTGAAAATTTGAACATTAAATAAATATTTTGAAGAGTAAATTTCAAGTTTACATTACATCATTACATTATTTAAGATTTTGCTCCTAAATTTAAACTTTTCTAGTTCCAACCCAGTAAATTTTATTAGTTTTTCTTTCAACGAACACTGTCACCCCTGTATAGGAAGGGCAAAAACACATTAGAAGCCAGGATATAAGGCCACGACACCCGAGGAATTAATTCATTTAAAAGTCGTTAGAAGAGCGCCACAAAAAAAAAGAGGAACCAAGGGATGGAGACATTTCACAGGCAGCAGCGGAAGCCAGAGTCTGGAAATGCCAGTGGCAACATCAGAGGAAAATGCTCAAATCCCTTTTTGCACTTAAGTGATAAACAAATACAGCGGCATGCGGCGGAGCAAATACAAATGCATAAGCGCCAGACGCCGGAGCACAAGGCATCCCGGCAGATCGAGTGTGAAAAGTGGCAAGCTCAGAGTCGATTCCCCACTGCCCCTGGATCTGGCCCTGAATCCTGAATCCTGAATCCTCTATCCCCGCAACCAAGAGATTCCATCCCCAGCAATTGAGACTGCGATTCCAACTGCATCATCAGCATAATCAACGCGGCTCCCGTTGGCTTTTTGCGTCGTAAATTTGCTGAGTGCTCTGCTCAGTTCACCAGGGGAGGAAGGGAAGCGGAAAGGAGAGGAGAGTCCATGCCAGTCCAGGCCAGGGAGTCACTCATAGCAGTCACTCATACTTGTTACACGGGAAGAAAAAAGTATATGAAAGAAAGGAAATTTAATAGCCGAGTGCTTTATAGATATTTCCAGGGGATTGAAATCTTCTTAAAAGGTATCTAAAACTAACCTAAACAACGATATATCGTAATAGTAAAGTAGGTGGCATACATTTTTTTTGTTTTGCAATTTTTATTAGAGATTCTAAAAATCTATATATTTTTAAATCAGACGCAAATATAATAGATATATCCATTTTTATTAAACAATTAACAATTTGGAAATGAAATCAGTTTCCCATTTTTGCATGGAGTCATGTGTAGTGATAGCTGTTACCGTTATTGTAAAGTTATTAACTTATTGGTTGGTAATACAATTAAGTTAAATAAGCTGGGTTTAAGAAGTATTATATATTTGCTTCAAATATTCAATAACTTTTATTTTAAATACATTTTAATGATTTATAAATGAATATAACGTTACAAATGTTTAAACATTCCAAACCTATGCACGCAATTAAAATTATCCTTGTTCAGGTAAATAATTTGTAATTGCCTTAATGTAGGCAAAAAAAATATTTATTTACTTGGATGATTTATAAATAACTATGTATGTTTTTAACCCCTTCAAAATATGGTTAAATGGCTTTTTAAGATTTCTTATAAACTAATAAGAGGACAGAAACTACAGTTCATGGCATGCAATTTGATTTTTAACTTGCATAAATATGTTTACAACTTAAATAGATGAGTATGAAAATATAAAAATATATATCTTAATATTAAAATCACTTAATCTCAGGAAAGTTAATTATTATACGTCCCCCATTTCTCTCAGTGTTGTGCTATCTCGCTTCCTCCCTATCAGAGCTCATCAGGCTGCAGCTGACTTTTGCTGGCTCCGCTTCTGCCAGCTTCCGTTACGTCTTTATTTGTCTGTCTGTCGTTTTCCTTTACGCCCCAGCCTTTCTCTCACTTTCTCCCTCCCCGCACCTCCCCCGCTTAATGTTTGTTTACCTTGCGTTAATGAAGTTGTTGCCCACCGCCAACGTCGACTGAACAAATTTTTCTGCAAAAATATTTTTGCAGCTCCCAAATGATACTGGCAGAGAGACAGAGAGACGGGTGATGCGATGGCAGGGTGAGGGAGAGCGGTGGAGACTGAGAGTTAAAAATAAAAGCAATTAGTTTGTTCATCACTCAGCAGATGGCCCGGCAAAATGAATATTTTTTTAAGCAACTGACAGGGTCTCGTTCCCTCTCTTTCCCTTTGTATTTTTCCTCGCTGTCGCTATCTCTTTTAATATGAACGAAAGCTGGGAGCAGAAATAATAATTATGCATGCAAATAAAAGGACGAAAGGGACTGTTAAAGAATAATGCAAGCCAGGGAGAATAAATACAGCGCAGGCCACTTGAATAGGTTCACAAGGATATGCCAATCATGGAATCATGTTTATACCATTAGTTTTATTTAAGTAGTATTTCTTGTTTATTGATTTCTTTTCTATTATTTATATATATTTCAGTACACCCTAAACTTCACTTGTATTAAAAGGTCTTAGTATTCTTTTTCATATTCAGTATTTCCTTTGAATTATTTAACTCAATCATAATAAATACTCCCTATAATTATACACTCTCTAGTACTTATAGCTATCTCTTATATATATTATCTCATATAAAATATTATCCAAATCTTGATTACCAATAATTCCCCAAATAGTTTAGCAAAATTTCTATTAACTCTTTTCAATTTTCCCCTTTTATTTTTTTCTTCGCTTACCTTGAGGAAAAACAAGCCGCCAGCTGGCAGTGTGATGCGATGCGAACCCGGCAGGATCTTCAGGGGAACCCCGTCCTTGTACCACTGAATGGTGGGCGTGGGGCTGCCCTCGGCTTTGCAATTAAGCGTCGCTGGCTCGTGTCGCGGCACCGTCGTATCTATGGGATGCTCCACTATCCGCGGCGGATGCGAACCTGCCAAAGAAATGCAGATGCGGGAGATGCCGTTGAATGAAAAGTTAAATATAAAAATTGCAGGGGGGCTGGGAAGGGGTGGGGATTGTGGCAGGGCTCCTTCCGCTTTCCGCTGCGCCATTCGGTATCATCATCATCGCCAGCGGTTTGTTCAAATGCAAAAAAAGGAGCAAAAAATTATAAAAAAGTAAAACGAGAAAAATGCGCACGGTGGCAAATGAAAACAATGTTAATGCGCATTGCCGTTGACGTTGCAAATGAAGTTGCAGTTGCAACAGCACCAAATGAGAGCTAAAAAGGAGGAGGAGAATGAGGAGGAGGAAGGTCCTGGCCGCTCAAAGGATTCAGTTCGGAATTAATTTGTTTAGATTTGCATATGCGGCAAAGGACACCGGCAGCTTAGCTGCTAAGTAGTTTTTTTCTCTGTATAATTTTCCTACTTTTGTTTTGTTTTTTTTTTTTTGCATAATGAAAACGTTGGAAAATTAACTGGGTGGAAAAGGGCAGAAAAGGTAGAAACTGGTTTCGGCAGTAAGGTTAAATAAGCCAGGGATTAGCATATTCTTTTGTTTTCACCTCCCTCGAGACCGAAAACTTTATTCCTAAATTCGAAAAGCTGGCAAAATAAAGTTTTAGCAAGCAAATTAAGGAAACTCGACAATGCCTTTAAATCTTAAGTTAATCTACAAATGGCCTGATATTTCCACGCCATTCCCCAATCTCAATTGCTCAAATTGATCCGAGATCCGTGTACTTTATGTTCCACCTGTAGCCGCCTTTTAGTTCTAAACACTTCTAATTCGTTTCTTCTCTTACTAATGTTTCTTTATTATTTAATCTAAAACTTTTATACTTGGTCTTATCTTTTCTTCACTCTTGTCTTTACACTTTTTGTCTTTACACGTCTACTCTCGTTCCGATCTTCTCACCAAGTGATCTGCCGCTCTCAGCAACCACTCAATCAACCCCCATTTTCAGCCAGTCGCTCTCTCATGTTCTCTTTTGAGAGAGCGTAACATCTCAATTAGAGTGGCCAGAGCATACTTATCTTAACTGGCCTGCTACAACTCGGCCGTCCTGACTTTGAGATAGCCCTCTATCTCTGCTTAGAATTATAACTTAACTACTATTTACAATTTGATTTTCATTTACAATTCAATTCTTAGTTTACTATCTTAATTACAGTTTTAACCAATGTCTTATATTATTTGCACTCCAAACACCTTGATATGGATTGCGAGACAACTGAAACCCATCAATATCTTTAAGCAAATATCTGTCATTTTTTAAAACTTTTTCAATTACATAAGGACCTTTACTTTTTGGAATGAGTTTTCTCGAAGCTCCTACAGTGCTATCAAAATTCTTTACCATAACATAATCTCCTTCTTTATATTCTGTAGCAGTTTTCTTTTTGCATTATAATATTTTTCATTCTTTATTTGAGATTTCCTTTGTTCCTCTTCTGCTTCTTTTCTAACATCTTCTAAGGTTTTTCTAATATTTCCTAACTCATTTTCGTCTTCTAATCTTTCTTTTAGATCATCCAAAACTTCTCCTTTCTGTCTTATCCCAAATAATGTTTCACTAGGACACTGCTTAGTACTATTATGAATTGTATTATTCATTGCATACTCTACTTTTTCCATAACTCTATCCCAATGTAATCCCTTTTCCGGTTCTGTCAATTTTGCTATCATAGGTCCTAGGCTTCTATTGACTCGTTCAACTTGGCCATTAGCCTGCGGCGAGCCCGTCGCTATTTTTATGTGCTTCACATTACTTTTTTCCATAAACTCTGCAAAATCAGACGATGTAAAACAACTGCCCCGATCTGATACTATGCATCTAGGTATACTATAAGCTCGAAAATAGTCTGTTAATGCATTTATCACCTCTTTTGTATTTGTCGTTTTTGTTGTGTACAACCTAACAAACTTTGTAAATGCATCTACGACCACAAATATATGCTTTTTTGATCTGCTACTATCTACCGGCCCATAATGATCTATATGAATGATCTCAAAAGGTTTGTTGCCTTTTGGTATGCTATGTAAATGTCCATCTCCTCTACCTACCTTCGGAGCATACGCTATACACTTTAAGCAATTTTGAATGTGTTCCACGACTTTATCTTTCATGCGTGGAAACCAATAGCTCTTTCCAATAACTTCTAACATTTTATCTCTCCCAATATGACCCATTTCATCATGATACTTGTATAGCACATGTTCCTCCATTCGATTCGGTACGTAAAACAATAATCTGTTGTCGTTGCTTTTCCTATAGATCACACCATTTCTCATTTCATATAACTTATGCTCGCTACTTTCTAACATTTTCCTAATTTCCTGAACCTTTACATCTTTTGATTGACAAATTACTAAATTTGTTTCGAATGTATTTGCCTCCACTATCATAATATTGTTGCATCTACTCAATGCATCTACATGTTGCATTTGTCTGCCTGCTCTGTGCTTTAATTCATAATCGAATTCCTGCAGCTCTAGAGCCCACCTTGCTATTCTTGGGTTCAACTCAATCTTATTGAGGGTTAAAGTTAGAGAGTTACAGTCTGTTACAATTTTAAATCGTTTGCCTAGCAAATATATTCTAAATCTTCTTAACGCGTATATTATAGCTAAAGTCTCCAATTCAAAACTGTGATACTTCGCTTCCGTTGCAGTTGATCTTTTCGAAAAATAGAAAATAGGATGTAACTTGCTGTCATCTTTTTTCTGAAGAAGCACAGCCCCAAATCCTAAGGCACTTGCATCACAATGAAGTTCGACATCATCTCTGTAATCATATAAAGCTAACACTGGCGCTTCCATTAACTTTGCCTTTAAAAGCGAAAAACAATTCAACTCTTCTTCTTCAAACCTAAAAAGCCTATCCTTTCTTAATAAATCATATAATGGTTTCGCTAATATAGAAAAATCCTTAATGAATCGTCGAAAATACGAACAAAGACCCAAAAAGCTTTGAACTGCTTGCACCTTGCCTGGGATCGGAAAATTTTGTATAGCTTCCAACCCCTTGCTATCAGCCTTAATCCCATCTTTTGAAATTAGAAAACCTAAATATTTGACCTTGTCTTGCAAAAATTTGCATTTATCCATTCTCAATTCTAACTTGTTTTCTACTAACCTTCTAAATACTTCTTTTACAACATCTAAATGTTCTTCTAAACTTTTGCTTGCAACCAAAATATCATCCATGTATATGATTACCTTCTTTTCTCTTATCATGTCCGAAAATATATCATTGACGAATCTCTGAAATACTTGTGGGGCTGTTTTAAGACCCATGGGCATCCGTAGAAACTCAAACTGCCCTAACGGGGTGGTAAACGACGTATACTTCACTGACTCTTCTTTGACAAATACATGAAAGTAACCATTCTTAAGATCCAATTTTGTAAATACTGATTTTCCCACTAAGCTATCCAAAAGGTCATCAATTAATGGTATCGGATAATTGTCCTTAGCCATTATTTTGTTCAATTTTCTAAAATCTATACAAAGTCTAAGTTCACCCGACTTCTTCTTCACTAATACGATTGGAGAAGCATACTTCGATTTACTAGGTTGAATAATCCCATCTCTAATATATTCGTCTAACATTTTTGATAATGCTTCCTTTTCACTATATGACAGTCTTCTTGGTGCGCAGCTAAATGGTTTTGAGTTTTCTAACACTATTTTCATTTCGCATTTTATTTTCGGAACTTCCGGTCGCTTGACTTGAACATAATGCGTCTCTAACATCTTGATAAACGTTTCACAATCCTTATAGTTTATTTGCTCACCAATATTATAAATTTTTTCTTCCTCACAGTTTTCTAAAATGTTTATATCCATCATTTCCCTATCAAAATTTTCGTCCAACACACCTCGATGTTCCTCACCTAACCCTTTTGTACCTAAAGTTTGTTCCCGTATAACATATGTACCTAAATTATTATCTTCTAAACATTCACCTAAGCTTGTATCTAAACCATTTTCTCCTAAATTTGTACCTAAAATGTTCTCATCTAAACTTGTACCTAAAATATTCTCTCCCAAACTTGTACCTAAAATACCTAAAATATTCTTTCCTAAATTTGTACCTAAAATATTCTTTCCTAAATTTGTACCTAAATATTCTCACCTAAACTTGTACCTAAAATATTCTTTCCTAAACTTGTACCTAAATTATTCTCTCCTAAATTTGTACCTAAAATATTCTTTCCTAAACTTGTACCTAAATCTTTTTGATCTAAATCTGTACTGAAACTACCTTTATCTAAATTTTTGTCCACTAAAATTTCACTTTCTAAATTTTCGCAACCTAATACTCTATCCAAATCATAAGGGTCCTTAGTATTGTCATTCACTAAGCTAATGTTTGTATCACGACCGACTTGGGTTTTACATTCCTCGATTGTAATCATTTTTAAGGTTTCTAAATTAATTTCTAATTTACAAGCTTTCATAAAATCTCGCCCCAGCACAATATTACAGAGCATAGATTCGCTAGCCACAACAATTAATTTAAACCAAATCTTTATTTCATTTTTTAATACAAAGCATAATATTTTTCCATAGCTTTTCAATAAGCTTTTGTTTAATCCGAAATAACTTTCTCTAAGAGGTTCTAACTTAATGTTTTTTGGTATACAAGAACGTTTTATGAGCGAAACTGGGCTTCCCGAATCTATTTGGCACTCTGTAATAATAGGCTGGTTCGTATTTTTCACACAAAAAATTTTGAATACTCTTACATAGTTGTTTTCCACCTCCTTATTCTGGGGACATACAGCAATACGGTGATCCTCTGCGCCACAGCCATAACACGAACCAGGCTCTCGCTTTGGCTTGGTGCACTCCCACTTCCAGTGCCCCTTGCCGTTGCAGTTGAAGCATCGAGTTTCGTTGTTCGTCGAAACCGCCTTTGCCGCCGACGCCTTCGCCTTAATTGACGCCCTTGCTGGCAGCTTGATGTCCGCAAACGCTCGC